ATTAATTTTCCTAACCGAATATGAACGTCGTCTCACTTATATAAATTAATGCTAATATTTCAAAGCAACCAAATGTATAAAGCACTTTAAGCTTCGTGTTTCTTCGTTTTAAAACGGAAAACGATTCCGTTTCCGCTACTCAATTTTTTTTTGGTTTTCAAAACATATGATTAAAGTGGAATTATTGAAAAAATTTTTCACATACAGCCTTGGCTAACACAAAACATTTCCAACCAAAATAATCGATGCCTTTATTATTGGCAAAGAACGGGATCCTTCCGTTTGCTAAAACTTTGCCAGTTTTTTGACTGATTTCTGACGAAACTTGTATTAATTCAACCATAGTTTACATAACCTCGGACGATGTTGTTTTTGGCCCGCTGCGTCAAATTCGATTGCTTTCTTGGCTTTCTTTAGAAAACCTTAAGTATCCGCAATATCTGAGGTCTTCAATATTGGGTTCTTTGTCACTGAGGGCGGTCGCCGCAAAGAGGTCGTCTTGAAATTTTTGGGGAGGCTTGGCGATACTCTTGTTAGATGATTTATGTTCGTGGGCGTTTTGTAAGGATTGAAAAGTATCGCCTAGACCATTTGACTCCTCTTTGGCGCCCATTCGCTTGGCCGGAAACTTCGACTGCTTTCTGGAGTCGTGTAATGAACCACGAGGCGGTGCGATTTTAAAATTCAGCTGTGAGTTAGGCGACGTTTTTGGTCGAGAAAGAACGTTTCCTGAATCACCTTGAGTTTGGAGTGAATGCATCCTTGAACTCGCATCCGCTACTCGTGGCGAAAGCCCCCTTCTCGCTGTAGCTTCTTCGTTGCTGTGCCGATTCGAAGTTGAAATGTGTATTTTCTTTCTCATCATCTCTGGCGTGGTTTTCAAAAGTGGTTGCAGCATTGCCACAGGAGCCGTTTTGGACCTTTCCAGCTTTTTATGTCCCATCTCTTGCCAGTCGCTCGCCGCGTCTCTCCCTAATTGAAGGCTGTCGTGAATCTGAGGCGAGCCAATGGACCTTGCTCTTGATTTGGTTACATCATTCGATGCCGTCCTCTCCCCCGATTTCACAGCATGGCGCACGCCTTTGAGGGCGGGAAAAGACGAAGTGTTTGTGCTACGAATGTTTAATCCGTCTAATACCTCGGGAAAGCTCTGGGTGCGACGAAGTTTCGACTTTTGCCCATTAGCGACAGGACTTCGGGGAGGGTGAACTCCGCCGTTAGGCTCTACATTGTTCAACGCGTGTGTTCCTAACAGTGGATCTGTCGCGAGGGCCTTCATGGATTCCCTGATTTCATCGAGTTTGCTTGCCACTCCGGCAATCTCTTTGTTGTGAATCTTTTGATACGCGTTTATTCTGCGACGAAGAATGTGGTCTTCATGCTCATTTAAAGTCGACATGCGTTTGGTTGTCGATGATCCAATCCGTTCAGCAGGTTCCTTGCTGTCGCGCGAAGACATCCTCCCTTTTGTTGCTTTTAGTGAAAATTGAACGCAATAACAATTTGGCATGTGCCACTTGAGACCGAAATTCGATATAGAAAATCACAAAATGTCTGATTGCGAAAGCTTTTCTACTAATTCTTCAGCCAGATTTTGTCTTTTTGAATTTCCTTTTCACTAGAAGCACTGATTATCAACGAGAAATCCTCGCTGTTTTTCCAAATCAAAGAAGTCCCTCCGTTGTTTTCCTTGTCCCTGGGGATAGCTATATACAAAACTACGTGTTAGTTCTTACTATTTTTTAACATGCAAATTTGGATCTTTCTGATGTGTTTTGCTGTCGTTGCTGGGCGATATGAAGAGCTATTTCATTTCTATTTACCACTAACTGTGCTCCGGGCAATGCCACAAAAAACCACCTGCCCAGTGAAGTGGCAATCTGCCACGTTTATCGAGGTGCCTATGTTCTGTTTTCATTGTTGATTGCCCGTTTATCCTGTTCGCAGTCGCTAAGCCACGTAAGTTTTTCGATTCAGGTTCATCTTTAATCGCTAAAATTTATCATTAGAATTCAAACCAGAAACACCCAAAATTTTACCCTGCCATTCACAAGTATGACAGTGACATTATTGACAGTGTTCAAAAGATTTAAAGCAATAGAAAAAGGTGTAATTAGTTTATATAATCACGCCTTCTAGAGAGTGCACGGAAACAGCGTTTTATCCTGTCAGTTTTATTTGTCATTCATGACTAATGTTACCGCAATAAAGGGGAAAACACTTTACAGAAAACAAGTGAGAAAAACTTAATACTTAAAAAGAATTAATTTGAGGAAAACTCAAGACAACAGATTTCCTACTTTAAGTTTGGCTTTTTAGACCTCTTCTGCTGTAGTGAAACTGTTTATATCGTATGCAGTTCATTCGACTTTGAATTTATCTTTTGTTTTTACAATCGTTATTTGAACATTGCATCGTAACAGTCTAACACAGGCCTTTCTAGCAAACAAAAGCTATCAATCAAGTTTTCATGTTTCCTTAGATATAAAAACTGAAAACGCGCAGAACAGTTCGAAATATCAATTGTTCATACTTATTGCAAACACCCCTTTCAGCCGGTGTGGATAATGACAATATGACAACCCATCAAGAAGCTCAGTATTTCTAGAAGAATCTAGTTTTATCACATCAAATGCAGTGAGGAATATCGAGGAAAGCTGTGTATCAGAGAGTGAACAAGTGACCGAATTTGCAGAGAAATGTTGACTCCTTTTACCATCTCAAAAAGTTGAATCGTTTGTCAGTTGGATTATAAGGCATATTCCTTCTTTTAAACTGAATAAGCTGAACTTCGTTAGTTTAAGACAAGAATGAAATAGCACGCTTTGCGCGCCCGATATCAATTTTCCTCCGCGCTAACTCGGCATATTGAGACTCGCCAAGTGCACGAGGATTATATTTAAGCAGCGGAGCACTTTTTCCGTTCCACATAGCCTCATCTAAGTACGAGGAGGGG